GATCTCCGAGCGAGAGAACGAAACAAGGAGCGAGATGGGAGGAGGAGGAGGAGGAGGAGGGAGAAAGAGCAACAAAGAGGAGAAGAGATGAAAGGATATTTCTTCAGGAGGAGGAGGAGGAGGAGACCTACAGTGTTGGATTCGTTCAGACTTAACAAAGGCGTGGGGAGCTTCAAGATTGTTTTCTCTCTCATTTTTTTGCCTTAAAGGGAAAATCCACTGTCAAACAGGAGCCGCACATCAATGGCGAGTGACAGACTTTTAACTCCAATCGCAGTGATTTTCATGGTTTCTATTGAAGGTGTGTGTCGCCTTTTATGCCTGTGTAATCCATTGTAAAAAAAATTTTAGGAAAATAGGTCCATTTGAAAATAACTCTCTCTCTCCAGTCGGGTTTTCTCTCTTTTAGCAGTGTTATTCTTCTTATAATCTTGGACAGTTGAGTCCATTTTAACATTTATTAACACTGAGCTGCCAGCTACATCAAAGGAGCTGCGCAGAGCTGTTGGTAGGAGACGCTGGTTAACAACACAGCATCATGTGCTGCACTGGCTCCATTCCCAACCAAATTCATTACACCATGTTGTCTTTGGCCTAAACCACTGCTCAAACATTTCATTTATTATATTATTAGTATCTGGCTGGTTGAGAGGTTCAATATGCTTGAAATGAACAGTGTTGTATCAGGTGACGTCCGACTGTTGGAAAGTGTACCTGTTCCTAACGGTCACACTTGACAGTGCTGCTGTCATCTCCTCCCCTGGCTACATCCTTCTTCTTCTTCTTCTTCTTCTTCTTCTTCTTCTTTTCTTCTTCTTCTTCTTCTTCTTCTTCTTCTTCCATGATCTCTCCTCCAGAAATCTGACTTTGAAATGAGATTTCTTTGTAGTCTCGACACAATGGATCGTTCAGACGGGGATAACAGCGCACACTTTCAGACAGTCTCTCCTCAAAGGCTTTTATGGTGTGGCACTTGTTTGCACATACAGAAAGTGACAGAGGTAGGTGAGTGAAGAGCATGAAAAGAAGAGAGCTTCAGAAAAAGAAAAAAAAAAAGTACAAACCCTGCTGACTTTCTAACCTCTGCACGTGTGATTTTTGGATTGTTGGTTTCAGAAAGTAAAAAAAACAAAAAGTGTGGATGCAGAGCCTCCGACATCAGAAAGGTGTGGGTGGGCGCCATACTCACATCCTTTGTTTGAACTTTTGTCCAATTACAAGTCAGCCTCAGGTGGTCGGGTTGCAAAGTTAACAACAAACAATACGACGACTTTGTTTTTAATGTCTGCCATTTTCTAATCAACCACCATCAACCATCACCATCAACTATGGCAGGTCTCAATAACTACTTGGATAAGGTTAGTAAAAGATCCGGGGGGGTGGGGGGGGGATCATGAAAGAAACCAGAGATCGGAATCAGGAAACTGACAGCTGTCTCCCATGTCAAAGTCACACATGTTCTGCTGACGACCTGATAACTATTAAATCAAACTACTTCATCACATTGATGAAAAAAAAAAACAACACTGACATAAAAATTGTACTTAGTGATTTGCAATGTTGCCTACAATCACTTACTCAACCTGGATGAATTCAAATGAAGTATTGTCTGACTGAGCTGAAGAATTTTGTTGATAAATAGTTTATTCGATCGACATAAAATCTATCAGCAACCGGTTTTTGAACAAAAATGCCAACCCTCTGGTTGCAGCTTCTCTTTGTCATATATGATAATGAACTGAACAGCTTTGGCTTTTGGACGGTTGATGAAACAAACTGACATTCGAAGACATCACCTTGGGCTAAAGGCCAGTTTTGTGACATTTTATAGGTAAAACAATTATTGAGAAAATAACCTGAAGATCAATTAGTAATCATTAGTTGCATCCTTAATATCTGCCTGTAAGCCCTTGTCACAAATTGCATATGTCCATGAGTTTGGAGAAGTTTTGCTAAAAAATATTTTTCCCCCATGAACCTGGGTTGTTTCATTTGACTGTCGATCTGAAACTATTCTGTATTTTACAAGAAAAAAAGCAAAGATTCCTTCTTTAATTCCCGTTAACCACCTTGTGACCCCTCAGGTTTACTGGAGGGGTCATGACCTGATGGACTAATACACCCAGAATTATTAAAGACATCGCTGCCAGGGTGTGGACAGTGCGGCTGAATCTCTGATGTTGATGAATTGTTGTTTTTGTAAAGTATATATTGTCATATTGTTCAATCCTATAGGTTGTTTAGGGCTTTTGAACAAAGACCAGCATTATCCAATAAGGTTTCACCTTTCACCTTGTCAAACCATCAGCAGCTCTGTTCATTGTTCTTTTTTTAATCAGCTGTGTCTGCACATTTCTGTGTTTTCTTCTCGGTAATAAAGCCTATTTCTGTGTGTGAGCCCAATTTCCCATAAGGACCATCTGACAGCGGCGGCGTGATGGAGTGGTGGCAGGGGGAGGGTTACATGTGTAGACACCCTGAGCTTGTTGTTGAGCCCTGAGCAGCTCCACTCCAGCAGCGGGGGGTTAAGTACCTTGCTCCAGGGCCCTTCCATGGCGGCTGCTGCTGAGGGACAGCAGTGTGTGTCACTTTACCGCTCACAGTCTCCCCGCTGGAATAAGGATTCAAAACAGCAACACGGTTGCCAAGTTATTGTGCTCCCACTATAACGCAAAGTTGAGCTGGAGAAGCTGTACACTCTGCTATTGAAGCACTATGTGAAAAGGAAATATTTCCAGTACAATAGTTATCCAGCACATAGTTACATGTGTCTGATAATGCTTTTCTATATTTCTTTTTTATGAGTCCATAAAGGTTTCCTGAGGATGCATGGACTTCACATCACCTTCTATCACTTTCACACATACTCAGGCTGAGACTGACCAGATAAACATTTGAACAGCTGCACGGCCTGCTCTCAAACAACACACTCGTGTTGTCTAAATTCTGTAGAAATCAGTGTTGTAATAAATTCCAAACCATGCAGAGAACCACAATTATATTTAACTTCTTGCAGATGACAGCCTCACCGTCCTCTTTTCAACCTCCAGCATCTATTGGCCCCCCTCGTGTTAAAAGGATTCAGCACCTCTCCCCATGTGAGTCTTTGTTCTGATGTTCTCTGCTGCATATAAAATGACCTCACTGAGGATTGTAATGTATGGATTAGAACTGCAGTTATAATTATTGTATTTTATTATTTATTCTTTTCATTGCAGATGATACCCTGATTCATACTGAATCTTTGAGGCTGATATTTGGGAGCTGGAATCCGATAATTATATATTTAATGAGAAACATATTTTTCTCTAATATAAATATATAAAATAAATTTTGAAAAATCAGCTTGTCACTGCTCTCTATTGGACTGTTTCTAAACGACCTCAAACCTACTTTGACATTTCTATGCTGGGTTTATTTTTTCATCTATCAGCCGACATGTGCACTGATATCTGCACGTCTGCAATAAGCTAATGTATAAAAAGCAAATGTCTTTTGATCCCTATTACAGATTAATCTGTCAATTATGTTTTTCCATTAATTGATTGATTCAGTAGTTTAGTGTATGAAATGGCCATCACAATTATAGTCTGACCAGTACAGGATTTTTTAGGCCCATAATGATATCTGTATTTGAGAGTTTTAAAAAAAAAGAAATCAAAAAAATATATTTTTTTTTTATATAGGTTCCCTTCTTTTCTTTTTTTTCCATTTACAGACAAAAAAACGATCTGGTGGGACATTTTACAGCTGAAGAATAAACTTGTCACTTCTCTCTATAGAGTTGTTAAAAATCAATCAGTGGGATTTCTGTACCTCAATTTGCTGTCATTTACCAGCCGACATATCTGCAATGTACTATGATATATCGTTCTGATGCATTTAGCAGTCAGGCTCTAATCACTCCGAGTCCTCATGCAGCGCACAAGGTGATGTCTTCAAATGTCCTGTTTAGTCCAAACAACAGTTCAATACCCTAAAAATATTCAGTTTGCTAAGATATACAACAGAGAGGAGCTGCAATTCCTCACATCAGAGAAGCTGGAACAGGAGAACATTTAGTGTTTCAGTTTAGAAATAATGACAGTTCATTATTATAATAATATTTTCTGATGAATTTTCTGTTGCTCAAGTAGTCGATGAATTGTTTCAACATGTAAGACTGTGTGTAGACCACAAGCACAAACTGTTCAGTCATTTCCTACAGTCAACATGACAAAAATGAAGCCGGTCTAGTTTTAGCATTTAATAATGGCTCCACCACAGAGATGCAAACATCCCCAAAATGATCACAACCCAACTTCACTCCATTATGCTCCATGACTCCGTGTGTGTGTGTGTGTGTGTGTGTGTGTGTCCAAAACAGACAGAACACCTCCACCTGTGCTGCTCAAGGTGGAGGCTGAACTCACATAAACTCAGGACCGATATTAAATAAACACTGAAGAACCGAACTACTAAACTTCTGTCCTTCGCTTTCATGAGGATTTAATTCATTCAGGGGTTTTTTCTACATCAGTGCTGCTCACCCTGTCACCGCTCTGTCACACAACCCGGTGCGGTCTCACGTTCAAATCAAACATTCCTTAATATGACAATCAGACAGTGAAAGCCGGCGTTCCGCTTACTCTGTGTGTGTGTGTGTGTGTGTGTGTGTGTGTGTGTGTGTGTGTGTGTGTGTGTGTGTGTGTGTGTGTGTGTGTGTGTGTGTGTGTGTGCGCGCGCGCGCAGGCTACGTGTGCATGCCTCCCGGTTCGTCTCAAGCAACAACAACGGCAGCTTTACGGTGACAAAGAAAGACGGTCTGCACGGTTTCTCCGGGACTCACTTTGGCTGCCTCCTCATCTCCAAAAACGCAACGTAGAGCCTTGATTTTGGGATGCCATGTCCGCTCATCCCTCTTTTTTCTTTTTTTAAAAAAAGCCCTCACATTACACCAACACACATGCATTAAATGAAAAAAACACAGAAGAAAATAAAGCAACGTGCGCAGGACTTACCATGGTTGTTCAAGCTCCCAGTCTCTGAAAAAGTCGAATTCAAAGAGATCCATTGCCGCTCCGGCTGGTGGTGGTGGTGTTGGTGGTTAAAATCCAAAGCTGGTGCTACGTGGTTCTACATAGGCTACTGATACTGAGTGAGTGTGTGTGTGTGAGAGAGAGAGAGAGAGAGAAAGAGAGAGAGAAAGAGAGAGAGAGAGAGAGTGAGTGCGTGTGCCAGAGAGAAGGAGAGTAGACACAAGCTGCTGCCGCTGCCAGGAAGCTGCTACGTGGTCGAGGCAAGCTGACAGCCAGGCAGAGGTGGAGGGAGGGAGAGAGCACGCACACACACACACACACACACACACACACACACACACACACACACACACACACACACACACACACACACTGAAGGAGGCTGTACAAGACAAGTCGCACTGAGATGTTCACTGAAAAATGTTTCCTACATAACAAGTAGAGCTATTTATAATGCACGATCTGACAAAATAAACCTCGTGGTCACCCCCCCTCTCCACCCCCCCCACACACATACACACACACACACCTTTGCCCAAAAATGTGTCACTTAATGTGAAGCAGTGACTTGGCAACAGCTGGAAAATGAGTGAAATGTGAAATGTCTTTAAAGGGTGTTCGACATGACATGTTATCAGATTAAGGTTCATGTTGAGGGAAACCACAGTCAGTGACACACACACACACACACACACACACACACACACACACACACACACACACACACACACACACACACACACACACACACACACACACACACACACACACACTTCTGAGGAGACGTCAGGACTCTGACATGGTCTGTGATGTTCCTCATGTTCTCATGAGTCAGAACCTTCAGAACCTCACAATCCATGAAAGGAGTGTGTGTGTGTGTGTGTGTGTGTGTGTGTGTGTGTGTGTGTGTGTGTGTGTGTGTGTGTGTGTGTGTGTGTTTAATGTGTTCATACTCTATGAAATGTGTAAAAGGCTTTTTCTGATCCAAAGCTGCGACAGTGAGGTACATACATGCAGCTCACTGAGACATGAGGCTTCTTTGTTCAGGTTCAGGCTGTGCAGGAACACATGGTGCACCATTACGGGTTGTATCCAGGATTTTAGAAATGCTGAGGTCATTAGAGTCAACAAAACAACTGTGGTATCTTCTGATTATTTAATCACCGATTTACATTATATGTTCTGTAGATTTCGGGGTTTTTTTTGCCTAAAATGAGTCAAGTATAAGGACATTTCATGTAAAAGTACCAGAATTAGGTTTCAAAATGCAGCATGTACAATCTGTGTGTATGTAAAATCCTCTATGATACCAGTGGCTCTGATGAAATCACAGAGTGCAATATGCAAAAAAATAATGACCCTTCTCAAAAACTAACATCCCACCTTGAGGCTCTGCTTTCATGAACAGAAACTGACTCATCCAAACTCACTGACAGAGCTGAGTGTATGTTCACACTGGGTTAAAACACCAAACTTTATTGGACTGACCCTACCAGGTCTATAGCTCAAGTGATACTGGATTTTTGAGGCCAACACTGTTATTGATATTTGAGAGTGTGATAAGGGTCCTTCAAAGTTGCTTTTATATATATAAATATATATTTATTTATTTATTTGTCCATATATATATATATATATATATATATATATTTATATTTATATTTATATGGACAAATACATTGGCCCAGCTGAGTTATTGATTTTCCACTTTATTTGATGGATTCTGAATGTTTTTCCATGTGGCTCTTGCAATGTTGTCATACATTAAAAATTAATTCTAAATAGATTTAAGGGGATTGGATTTGTGTTTCTTTTTTCTTTTGTTTTTGGTTGTTTTGTGTTTTATTGGTTGATCATGATGTCAGCATGACATAATCAATCCCTGTACGTATAAAGCCTTTGCCTTTGTCACGTTTTGCAAAGTTTCTAATGTCCAACTGGAGCTAAACTGGTTTGCTCTTTTAAATAAGCCCTTTGCAGTATCTTTAGTAACAAGCACTAATGGTTGTTTTTATATTAATTTGTATCTCTTTGACATATCATGCTGTTGTTTCTTTCTGCCACATTTCTCCTATTAAATCTACATGGTGCTCCATTTCAATGAAATTAAAAAAACAAATGTAAGATGGAGGCCATCTTAGACAATACCAACCATCCTCTCCACAACATTCTGGCAGGACAGAGAGGCAGCTACAGCTACAGCTAATGTCTCATCTCACTGCACTGCAGAACAGAGAGGTTCAGGAGATCCTTTGTCCCCACTATCTATCTATCTATCTATCTATCTATCTATCTATCTATCTATCTATCTATCTATCTGTGTTTGGTTTGTTTTAATTATGTGCACCTGACATGAGTTAACTTAACGTTTACACCGTTTGACTGTGAGGAACACTTTAGTTCAAAGCTTGTTATTTTTCTGCATTACCAAAAGATACAGCAAATCTGAACTTCACGTTCTTTTGTACTTTGAATGTGAACAGTTTACTTGTCAATAGTCTTGATTTGCCATTTTCTTGACATGACCCGAACTGTTCAGTCCATTAAAGTTCAGGAGCTATAATCCACTGTGTGGTTTACTCTCGGCTTTTTCCGTCACTGAAGCTGCTTTGCTGCACTGGGCCTAAATATAGGACTGGATGTGCACACAACTCCCCCTCTGTATCCTCCAAACTTCAGCCTCCTCAACAGCAATGAGTGAGAACTCCACATCTACATGATCCTTTGCCTGTTTTGTGTCTACATCGTATATATGTGGCAACGACTGGTCAAGTGAGTGTGTGCAGTTTATTGATAGTTACATTACTCGGTTTGCACACCACTCTGTCGCCCCTGTAATTTGGTGCCTTGTGCAGCTCCAGTGAAATAAGCTTTATGCAGAGAGGCAGCAAAAGCAGCAAGCTAGTACTGACAAATGTTCCTAAAAATATTTTACACTGTACAGTTCTTAATCCAGGTGGTCTTTAAACCCCTCGCAATCTGAATTTGTCACCTGCTTTTGTGTCTTTATCCCACCACATAACCTCTGTTTCAGATCATGGGACGTACAAGCGTGTTAATAACAGTTTAGCAGCCCACCATCCTCGTTCTCTGTCATGCACTTGCTGCAACACATGCCCAGCGGCACGTTTTACTGTTTACGCCTCGCTATGAATAATGATTGACCAGATGGTTGAAACTTCTCACTCAGCATGTGCAGTAGCAGTAGCTGTAACTGTGGTTCCTATGACATCACTGTCCTCTCCTTTAAAAAGTCCTCCCACACAAAAGCCTGCATGTTTTTTTACCCACGATGAGAGAACACAAGAACCAAATGGATCAGAAATAATATTTGAAGATATACTGTGTGTGTGTGTGTGTGTGTGTGTGTCTGTGTGTGTGTGTGTGTGTGTGTGTGTCTGTGTGTGTGTGTGTGTGTGTGTGTGTCTGTGTGTGTGTGTGTGTGTGTGTGTGTCTGTGTGTGTGTGTGTGTGTGTTTGTGTGTCTTTGTTTTGGATGGTGTGTCACTGTGTTTGTATGTGTGTGTGCATGTGTGCGTGAGTATTTTGGTCTGGTCTGGGGCAACATGCCAGCCTTACTCTGCGTCACACTCTGCAAGTACAAACAGCAGCAGAGAAGAGAAGAGAAGAGAATAGAAGAGAAGAAAAGAGAAGAGTGGTAGCCATAGTGCATGATGGGAATAAAACACTGCCGGTCATAAGCAATATTGTCTGAAAGCACTGTTTCATGACCTTGATCAATTCCAGCCATTTCAACCTCACAAATCAAAATTCCAGACATCTCCAGACCTCAAAAACACCACATCAAATTTCAACCAATTTTCAAGGATTTTAAGCACCTGCAGGAACACTGGTTTTATGTGTGTGTGTGTGTGTGTGTGTGTGTGTGTGTGTGTGTGTGTGTGTGTGTAAGAAAGCCTGTCCAAAACTAGGTCAGACACTGAGAGACAAAGAATGACTGGAGAGAGGGAGAGGGGGAAGGATAGAAAGATGTAGCAGAATTTAAAAAAGCAATTCCAGGATGAGTTGATGGAGAATGAGATGATAAAGAGAGATAGAGAGACGTTAAGATAAAACATAATTAAGGGCAAATATACAGAGAGCTACTCACATAAATTCATTTCCAGCTCATTACAGTGTCTTTACCACGACCGGAGTCTCTGTTTGTTTAGAGATCTCATTTTTTTCTTAAGTGTCTTTTTCAGTATTGTTAAAGCCACATCTGTGCCAGAAATTTATATTTAAATGATGACACAGAGTGAGAGACTCACACACAGACATGGAGCCGAACAGAAATACAAACTGATAAAATAGTCAGGAAGGACCGAGTTCTCAGCTTTGAGCTCATTGTACTTGCTGTGTATCTTGCAGAAGTTGAGAAGTGCATGTCATGAATTTTCAATGTGTGCCCAGGCTCCCCCCCCCCCCCTCCTCTTGCTACGTAGTAGGGGGGAGTAGTGAGTGAAGACGGTACCACAGCTCCCCCATGTGGTTAAATATAGCTATTACATTATGAAATATAGGCTACCTGTTACTTGAATCTTTCTTTTTCATCACTCATTTGGAAAATTATTTCCCTTTCATTTCCTATCTCTTACTTAACCATTACTCTCCCTGCTGCTCTTCTCAAGTTTTACAGTCCATGCCTTCTACCTCTCCTCTGCCCTACAGGAAACCTGCAGGGAACCAGCAGTGAGCGTGACTCAGGCCATAGAAATGGCAAGAATTTGAACTCAGTGCATCGTTCCAAAGCAAAGCACCTGTTTGCAGAGGTTGTTATGCACCCTTTTCTCACAAACAGCCTGAGATATTTATCACATGATCTTCCACTCCTTCTTCAAACCTTTCTTCCATTGACACAAATTGTATTACAAGTAAAATAAGTTCTACATAACCTATCATGCTTTTCTGAGTTACCCCTTTTCCTATATAGCTTTTTGTGCATGTCAATGGTCTACAAAGTCGCAAAGCTCAAAGTACACGCCAAAGGGAGGAGCTCTGTCAGGGCAAAACCCACTTTTCTCATTTACACGAAA